GTACCGCCTGGTCACTATGAGCCGGACTGACGGGAGGTGCCGCCTGACTGACTCTCATGATACGACTGAGTACGCCTCATCGAGGCATTTCGCAGACTGTCTTGAAAGTTTGAAGTAGAGGCCGACTCTGACAATCGGTCACTCTTCTTCTGCTCTAGCAGTAGCCGAGCGTCTGTGAATGTTTGCTTCGACCCGTCCGCCTGAATATGACGAACAGGTTTCCTATTTCCTGTTGGAAAATGGAATTTTGTGAAATCAAGGGCAGGTGGCTCCCGCTTCCTAGATTTAGGATGAGGAGTCGCCTCTCGCCCTTGAACTGGCTTCCTCTTCAGTGAAGTGGAGGGTTTCTTAGCCGACTGCTCCTTGACCAGAGCCGGCGGCTTCTTGTTGATCAACTCTTGAATCTCTCCCTTGAAGTCCCTCATGAAGGTCATGAGTTCGTTCCTTGTGATGGGAGCAGACCCAACAGTCGGCTGCTGCCGAACAGGCGGTGCGCCTGCTGGCTCGCTTCCTGTATGAAGATGTTCCCGTTCCCTCCTTTCGGTATGACGGGTACGTCGGGCCCTTAGGGTCCCGTCTGAAGCTCTGTGAGCTTCAACTTCAAGTTCATCCTCAGTATCATGGTCCGACTGTACTTGAGGGTCGTCTAGGGGACGCCTCTCTTCAGGAGTCGGTACAGACTTGGATGCCATCTCAGAAATACTCTCCCCACAGACGGCGCCAAATGTTTCGGGGTTTTCTGATGTCCTGCGGGAGAGTTACAATTCCGAGACTGGAACCGGACGCCTGTACCTGCAAAACAACGGAGACTCCTGGTGGTGGGAGCTCCGCCTCCAACGGTCAAGTTAGTACTTGATTAAGGAGTAATTAATGCGGAAATTAGAGTGAGTGGGTCTCTCTAGGTGAGAGTGTTTAATGTGAGTTTTTAGCGTAATCAGCCTGTAACTCTGTGTGTAATCAATGTGTTTTTTCCGTAATCTCCCTTAATGAGGATTAAGGGAGGTATTTATAACCTTGGGAAACGCGTCAATCCTAGGTTTAGGTTAACCTAGGGCTGATTGGGCTTCCCTCGGAAGTTGGGCCTGGGTGGCCGGTTTCTCCATTAGGCATGGAGTATGCCACGTGTCATGACATAACAGGTCCAAGGTGGACGAATAAGCGTGTGCCACGTGGCAAGCCCTGACAGTTCCAACTGGGGGACACTTGGCAGGACCTGATTGGCCCACGTGGCGCATTCCGATTGGTGGGAGCAAAAATCCCCTAATCACCTAGGATGATTAATTGTGAATCATATTGCATGCATGGATTATTTATAAATGTAGAATGTGGGTAAGCATATTTCGTAGTGTAGTTAGTTTAGGATTTTAGTTACAATTAATTAAACCTCCTAGGATTAGGAAAAGGGTTAAGGAAAGTTTTCCTAAAATAAAAGCCAGTAAGTTAAAATAATACATCAAATTAAAATAAATATTTTGAGATAAACCAACGAATTTGATTTACATTACGAGTAGTACATTACACCGGCCACTTATTTCGTTATCCGTTCTTTCTTTCTTTACTTTTTTTTTTTAAAAAAAAAATATTTATTTATTTATTTTTACTTTATAAATTATGCGATTTCCTGCTTGAGACGACAGACAACAACAACTAATTTCAGCGCTTGGAGATGGCTAAAGCTCCCTGCTGTGTGTTTAGTACAACTGTACAAGCAGTATTATTAAGGGTTTGTGCTGATTGACTGAATTAAGTTGCACTAAATTGAACTAAACTTATTGGAGCTGAACAAACTAAACTGAACATTTTATGAGAGAAGAAAATTAAGATAATAACCGAATTATACTAAACTTATTGGAGGTGAACTGAACTGAAAATAAGCTAAGAGCAGACCCTAAGTATATATTCTCCACATTGCAAGTTCCCGTCAATTTGTTTCTTTTGCATTTGTTGAAAGAAAAGAAAATGAAGGCTTCCCAAACTCTAGCAAAGTTGATCAAGTGAGTACATACAAGCCCTTTTTTTTTTTTTTTTTTTTTTTTTTTGAACTGTTCAGCTTTGCTATACTCTGCTGAGTTCTCCTCTGCAATGTGTTGGGAACTCAGCTTTGTTGTCCCGGATCTGTTATGTTATGCTCTGCCAAGAAACTCAAAAGAATAGGGCCTGGATGATCTTCTTGATCATTATAGAGTTTGGCTTTGATTTTGATGAAATTATTGTTGTTGATCTAAATGGTCATTGTGGTGGAATGTTTATATGTTGAAATATACTTAATATGACGCATTGAATTTCGAATTGAAGTTTGGATCACTATCTAGTTCACTTATTGGTTACTAATAAAAGCTCTAATTTTATGTTTAATGTGTTTGGTATATATGCTTCGGCTCAAGAAAAAAAAAAAAATCAATCTTGTCAATGTCCTTGTGTATTATACTCTGTATGTGATTATAACGAATTAGAGCTTGTCTATATTTAATCATTTAATGAACTGAACTGAACTGAACTGATTGGAGCTGAACTGAACTGAATAGAGTTTAAACAAATATTTTACGAGAAAAGAAAATTAGGAGCTGAATTGAGCTGAAATGAACTGAAATTAAGCTGAAGCGAACATGCCTTTAATATGTTTGGTGGATTAAAAAAAGGGCTCTATTAATTTAGTGAATTGCTATATGCCACAATAAAATTACTCAAACTATAGTATTAAAAGACTTTTATGCCCCTTATTATTTTGAAAATAACATAACAATCCAGCCATTACTAACTACTAACTTTGTCCTACCTTGACCATGCTCAAGCCTTATCTCCACATTGACTATCAGCTCCACCACCCATACCACCACCCACCTTGATTGTCCACTACCACGACTCCTCCTTAACAACAAACTTGACCGATCCTACAACGGTTGACCACTAACATTGTACTTTCCGTCCAATAAATTGAGTCGACAATTCTCTGCGTTCATATCGGAGGCACTTGGTGGGGACAAAAAACCTTCGACGTCGTCGAGTCAAGTATATGTCGGACTTTTTTTTTTAATTTTCGTTGTACCCGGTTGCATGCTATATGCGACTACACTACGGTATAGTCGCATGTTACATGCGACTATACCGCGGTGTAGTCGCATGCTTATGCGACTACACCGTGGTGTAGTCACATGTAGCATGCGACCGGGTACCATTTTTTTTTAAGTAAACCGTTTAATTTATACTAATTAACTTTTAATAATTATTAAAAATAACAAAATACACTTAATTTAATTAGTAAAATTTATTGATTAAAAAAAATTAGTATTTTTTTTTTGACAACGAAAATTAGTAAATTTATGGGCTTAAACAAATAACAAATTTGCCAAAAAAACAAGTAAGGGCAGATGCGTCATTCAATACCGCAACATAAGTAATTCTATTGTGGCATTTAGTAACCCCCTTAGGGCCTGTTCCGATTGACTGTACTCAACTGAACTGAACTTATTAATTAGTGATTTTTAACTACGAATTAGTGATCTTTGATTATTTATTGATTATTTATTACTATACATATGTGTATATACAAATGTACATATTATTTATTATTATTATTATTAATTATTGATTATTATTATTATTTATTTATTATTATTATTATTGATATTATTATTATTATTATTATTATTTATTGATGATTATTATTATAATTATTATTTATTGATTATTATTATTAGTATTATTATTTCAATTATTATTGTTGTTATTATTATTATTATTATTTATTACTTATTGATTATTATTATTATTATTATTGTTGTTATTATTATTGTTGTTGTTGTTGTTGTTGTTGTTGTTGTTGTTGTTGTTGTTGTCGTTGTAATAGGAGTTTAAAAGAATGAAATTTGGCTTTATATCATTAACAATATCATTAGACGTAAATTAAGAACTGAACTGAATTGAACTGAATTTCAACGGAAGAGAACATGCCCTTAATTTATTCCTTTGCCTTAAACTCAAATGCTTTGTCCAGCTCATTTCGGCTATTCCTTAAAAAATACAATTTCATACTCAGACTGATGTATGAGCGATTAGATATCGTCTAGTCCAATATCCAAGTGTAGCCATTTCATATGAAAATTTCTTATGCTAAGATCATAGTTCCATTTATTTTGCTATGAAACATTAGAGTTTTATAAATATGGTAATATTCAATCTAAATTGTCAACTAATGTGGACTAACTAAAAAAAATGTTAACAACAGATAATTGACGACATATCAAACACATTTGCTATATCTTACCAAAACAATTCAAAATATATCAACTTAAAAAGACAGAGGAACTTATTTTGTAATTAAGGGCCTGTTCATATTTACTTAATTTCACTTCAGTTCAGTTCAGCTCCAATCATTTCAGCTCCTAATTTCTCTCTCTCATAAAATATTCAGTTCAGCTCAGTTCAGTTTAGTTCAGCTCCAATCAATTCAGTTCAGTTCAGGCCCTAAAAACAGCTCATTACTTGTGACAATGTGACAAAGTGTTAATTATGTCAAATAATAACACTCTTGTAAGGTCTTTTGAGTGGAAAAAACATTTTAGCAATATCAATTAAATTGGAAAATTTTGCACAACAAATAAACTCCAAATTAACTTACAATATGATAGATGCCTTAATCAAGATGTGATTTGATAAGATTTGATGTATGCTCCCCCAAATCACAATCTTAAATTTTTATAAATCCATGGCCAATAATGCTAAAGTAGGATTCAAATGTCAAACTAGAACAAAAAGAGAAAAGAGGAAGTAGATAATAAAATAATCATTAAACACCTCTCTTATGTTGACACGTGTCATAGTTAATAGGTAATGCAAGAATATGGTGCTTCAAATAACGATAATGATAATCATAAATCCACACAGTTGTAATGTAGGACATAATTACCCCACAACTTTATTGCAAATTCCACACATCTCCCTCATGTTTTTATTAATTTTTAATTTTTATTACTTAAAATTTTTAAAAAATTATATTATTATATTTGAAAATAATTTTCACTACAAAATTCACTCACTCACGGAGTACTTCTCATTCCACTGTACACACTCTCAAGTCTCAACCTCTTGAGATCATCACCATTAAACCCCCAACTCCCCCAAAATATAAAACCCTAATTTGTCAAACAATTTATTAGATTCATTTGAATTCACTGCCCAACTTCCACCAATTCAATTCATAAACCTTTAAAACCCAATTATATCTTTCCTTAAACTTTCTCTCTCCAACCCCTTCAAAAACCCTCATTTTTAGATCTGATCAGCAACAAAAATGGCAACTTTTACTACTTTGATTGTTTTCTGTTTAACACTGCTGTTCTTCAATTCCGACAAATTCAAGCTTACCCATGTAAGTTTTCTTGCAAACCCACTTGTAACTTGAGTTTAATGTTTCAGGGTATTTCTCCAATTTTGATTCCCACTTGTAATTTGAGTTTAATTTTTCTGGGGTTTTCTCAAGATTTAATTTTTTTTTCTTGCTAATTTTTAGGCAAATGAATTGTGTACCTCTTCAAATTCTGGGAATATGACAAATGCAATTGAAGAACAGGGGATGAAATTATACCCATTGATTGATAAAGATAGAGTGGAGAAGATGATGGTGATGAATGAAACAAGAAGAAAACTCGGAAGTTTCCAGATTTGTGCACCTTGCACTTGTTGTGGAGCTAAAGGTTATTGCTTGCCTTCACCTTGTTGCTATGCTATCAATTGCAACATACCAAATAGGCCCTTTGGATTTTGTTCTTTCACTCCTAAGGTTTGTAATTGCTTTGGTTGCCATATTTAAAACCCCTAAGGGGTTTTACCCGACTCGAATCGAAATTAGTCGGAGTGGATTAGTTTATAAAATTAAAAGAAAAAAAAAAATTACTCCTTAATTTTTGTGGGTCTAAATATGAATCCTGTTGGTAAGTGTGAATGGGAAGAATATCTCTGTTCTAGCTATGTCCTTTTTTTTTTTTTTTTTTTTTTTTTTTTTTTTTTTTTTTCATTTTACCAATTAATGTTTATTATGCTCATTGTTATACTGGGACAGCTATTTCCAGGTATGGTTTTGCTACTTCTTATGATTTTTGTCAGTCTGTCTGATCAATTTCTTGGGAATTGGTGAAAAAAAAAAAATTGACCCTCATAAGAAAGATTAAAAAAAAAATAAATAAAAAAAAATAAGTAGCAAAAGTTTGCTTGGAAAAAGCAATGACCCAAAATTTAGCCCTAGATTAGTTTTATATTAGTAGTAATTGATTAAAGTGCATAGTGGAGATTGTGATTAATGTAATTGTGGATTATACAAGTTTATGATATTTGTTTATGTATTGTTTCTTATTACTTTGATGTTAGAATCTTTGTAGTGGACTAAAAAGAAGATTGATTGTAATTATATATAGTCCCATTAGTTGACCTTTATTCTCTTGCTTCTTCCCTTTGTTCAATTTTGTTTCTTCTTTTTGTACATTGTTGTCTTATATAACAAGGTTTTGTCCCATTAAATTATGAAGAAAGTGAGCTTATATCTTAAAGAACAATCTTTAGATTATTAAGAAAGTACTTTAGCTTGTCGCGCTCTAAAGAAAGATGTAAATCGTCTCTTAGCCAGGGACGAAACATTATAAGGATAAAATAATGTGTAATTTTATCATAAACTCCTAGCTTGACAACACTTTAGGTTATGTTTACAATGAAACCCTTTAAACAAATTAATGCTTTAATCACAAAAGATAAAAACAAAAACATCAACAACAAGATTGAGGGGTCAACTTTATTTTTTTTAATTGTCAAATTGAGGGGACAAGTATTGATATGGTATTAAAGATGTTTTATTTCATTTGTACTCTTCTAAATTATCCAATTGCTTGGAAAAAGTATTGCTTGGAGATGTTCAATGCTTTGCCTGGTAACCATAGTACGAGTGGTATGGTACAAGTATGTGGTAGCAAGCAGAGGACAAACATTCATTTCAGCAAAATATGTTCATATGCTAGATCTTTATGATTAGGTCATTTATGTCAAATCTAAATGTAAAACTCTATTGCCTGTCGCGGTTTTCTTATCTTCCTGTGTAAGAAAAATGAAAAAAAAAAGGTTCTATATATGGACTTTGGGACGTTTTATTAACTTGCAACCGGTTGCTCTTTTTGTTCGAAGTACTTGTATGTTGAAAGTGTCCGATTCCAAAACATGAAGCTTACCTTGTTGCAAAGGTTAGAACTTGTCCCTTGGCGACCTATGGGATCAAGTTCCATCAGGACGCTTTGAGAGTGGAATTTCCTTACCTTCTCTTTATGTCCCACTCTCACGATGCTCGATGAAGTGTTTATCGAATTATTGTGGTATATGTTTATGATGGTGACTAGAGTCAATGTGGTTGTATGAAGTACTAGTGTAGGTGATGGCATTTATGGTTGGATGGGTGGTTCGAGGGAGGGGGGTTTGGGCTTCAAATGACCATACTAAACTAATCTTTCTTTTAATTACATGCGTTGACTTAGTTTTGGGCTTTGTGCTTTAAATGATTATATTTCTAATGAACTCATATTTCAACAAGAGTTTTAATCAAGGCAAACTTATTTATTATTTTCATGTTTTTTCATGCATGAAAAACTATACAAGTAGCATTTTAATTAGGAAATACATATGATACTTGGAGCATTAGATTAGTGTATACATGTTATTATCCTGAATTGAAATTAACTGAACTTATTAGAACTGAAATAAGGGTCTGTTCTCATCATATTATTTTCAGTTCAGTTCAGCTCTAATTAGTTAAGTTAAGTTAAGTTAAGTTCAGCTCCTAATTTTCTTCTCTCATAAAATATTCATTTCAGCTCAGCTCAATTCTAATAAGTTCAGTTCAGTTCAATTCAATTAATTTTAATGAATGTGAACAAGCCTTAATTAAAAATAAAATGAACACATTAGGTTCTATGTCATCATCACATATGCAATATTACAATTTTATTTCTAGAATACGGTTAGACAACCAATAATCCTTGTTGATGAATCCACATCTGTTTTTGGTCCAATTTTGATCTATTTGGGCTATGGGATGGCCCATGACAAAGTTCTTATTCAATTTTTCATTGTCACAACTCACAAGGATTGTGACATTCAACTCACTATTTAAAGTGCTCTAAATTATCCAGTTTATTACTTCATAAAATCTCCACCTTGCTCTAAACAATGGCAAAAATAAAACATCATTTACTTATTTTTTCCTAGGGTGAAGAGATGCTTGAAAATTATACTCGTACATATAAGAATGGTCTAGAAAAATCAATTTAATTTATGGAATAAAGTCAACCAATTAAGGCCCGAAAAATGACAATCCCTTCTAATCATTTACCTTTTAATTGCTTTCATTTCAAGATATAAAAGGTTTTTGCTTTAGACATCAATAGTGACGACAAATTTTCAAAGTAACAATTCATCAATAATCAATAGTGACGACAATTTTTCAAAATAACAATACATCAATAATGAGTTAATGACGACAATTTTTCAAAGTAACAACTTCATGTTCCACCTTATATTATCTCGTTATCTATAATTATGCCACATTATTTACATTTATGATACATTATCTTTACTAGATAATTACGTACAAAAAGAGGTGCACTATGTAAGAACGAACTACTCAACAATTCCAAATGTTTAGGAAGTATTTTCATTGAATCCTTAATCCTAGCATAATACTTATTTAAAATTTGTCACGATTTTTTTAAAAGCAAAAGGAAATTTCTTAATACAATTGAAGAGTGCAATTGTTGTACTAAGCTAAAGTGGGGACTAAAAAACAAAAGGTCGCCAAACTCCAAATAATCGGTGGGTAGTGAGTTAAATGAGTTTGTTGAAAAATTAAAGTATTCGAAATATCCAACTTTACCTTTTTCTTATGATATTTCGTTAGCTCTTCATTAATGTACTCCTACTCCATACTTCACTAACGAACGTACACATAACATATGAATACATTATCCTTCATTTTTTCAAAAAAATGTTTTGAGTATTGTTTCGGTTGAAAACAATGGGACCTTGCCGAAGGTCCACTGAAATGGAGAAGACTGGATTCGATCCAAGTTGTGTTGGGCCGAAGGTTTCCTGCACAGTGAACACACGTAAACTAGCCTCGGGGGTGTTTCCGAGGAAGGCCCCTCCGATGCTAAAGTCAGTACAATGTGTAAAAGGAAGACACTATGCAAGAGAGTTTGTAGCTTGAGGCTTTTTGTGGAATATTTCTGAATGCAAGAATGAGCATATGAATTGGAATATCAATGTATGTGTCCTTTTGAATGTGTCAATATGATGGCTTTTATACCTCATCATACATGGAGAGGTTGGGCTTTAGCCCAATTGGCTTACTTTGTGGGCTGACCTTTGACTTTTGAGCAATTGGAGAGTTGAACCTTGACCTTGGGCTTTTAATTGGATCATTTAGTGCTTAGGCCCAATTTTGACTAAATTGGACCCAAACAACTTGCCCCCCAGACCCGATTTGGAAGGATGACGGGTCGGGTTTGATTTAATTCAGAAAAGGAGGGAAGTAAATGATTTAATTGATCCAAAAATTTGAATTTAAACCGTAATTAATGAGATAACAACGGTTAATGATTTGCGGAAGTTGGACGGATAATGGGCAGTTTAATCACAAGACATGTGTTTAATGGCTACTTAGTGGGTACTTAAGAGAAATTAAAGCACAGACTCTTCGTATCCCGTACCTGGAGATATAAACAGAGGCGCGTCATTCTCCTCACTTATTCACCAACACAAACCCAGAATTCTTCGAGAGAGAAACCAAGAACCCGCATCAAAACTTCGCAAATTCCCCGAGCATTGAGCTTAGAAACTGAGACTTGCCACTACGAACTCGTAAATCGGCAACTTTCGCTTCAGATTAAGGTAAATTCCTTTGATTTCAGTTTATTTTTCTTCGAATTCGAACTCCTTCCCCTTTTCTTTCGACTTTTCTCTTCGAAATAATCCATGGCAAGAGGAGTTAGAGGTAGAGCCCGTGCTCCAAGAAGAGCAAGGCCGATTCCCGATCCTAGGAACAGGATTGGGACCTGGAATGGTCAAAGGCCGGAGTCTGACCCTGCTGAAGGGATTAGGGCGACTCCCCTTTCCTCGGCTCCTCCTCAAAGAACGGATGAGCCGAGTGCTTCTGGACGGGATGATGAAATTCCCGCTGTCCTTTGGGATATCCTCCCTGGGTTTTCAGAGTGGGAGAATGCCGAAGTCGCTTCGGCCATGATAAAGAACCGCCCCTACTCATGGTGGGTAGAGAACGCCGATCAATATCGATTTGCCGAGCAAATTGAGTTGCACTACGGCATTTTTGAAGCTGATGGATATTGGTGCCGAATGCCCTCAGCATCCGATAGAATCCATCGTCCACCCCCGGGGTATGTGGGGGTGTACACGAGACAGCTTCAGTATGGGCTGAGGTTCCCTTTGGACGTTTTCGTCCGAGACTTGCTGATCCATTACAACATTTCCCTATGTCAGCTAACCCCCACCAGCATCCGAAGGGTGATGACATACTTATGGGTCTGCAAGTTCTTCAAATATGTGCCGAACCTGCACTGCTTCAGAAAGCTCCATCGGCTAGTGCCAAATATTCAAAGTGGGCACGGAAGCCATGGTTCGGGGTGGTATCGGATTGAGTCCCGGCCCCAATATTTGACCATGTGGCCAAATGACTCTTCAGACAAAGACTGGAGAGGTCAATGGATTTGGGTTAGGGCACCCACAGATCCGGGCCACCCTTGCGTCTTCAGCGCTCCCCGGTACTTAGCTGAGCCTGATCCCGAAATGGGAAGTCTAGGTCCCCCCGCAGATAACGGGGCGGATCCGAACCTGGATCAGCAACATATCTTCGGCAAGCTGCCGAACCCGGGGGGAAGTGGTCGAATGCAGCATATCCCGGAGACTTGGCTCCCCGATACGCATTACGTTTTCCAAGAGAATATGCTAGCAGCTGTTGGCCTCAGCCGAAAGTTTAAGGATGGTAAGCTTCTTCGGCTGGGGCCGAGGCTTTTTAACTACCTCTTTTTCTTCTCTTGCTTTGCTTTTTTTATGCAGTGCCGACATATCTGAGCTAAACTTTTTCCCTTTCCTTTTTTCAGAGCGGGACGAGACCAACGTTGGTATTAACTACGCTCGTCTTGGTGTTAACCGAGAGCGAGTTGTAACTGAACGGGCCCCGTCTATCACTGAGCCGAGGCATAGGGAAGTTCATCTGGATTCTTCCCACTTCCAAATTGAGGCTGTTGCTCTGTATCAGAGGCAGAAGCCTTGGTGGAAGAAGAGAGACCCTTGGTTTCAGCTGCTGAACGAAGAAGCTGAAGCTGCCCGCACAGCCGAAGAGGTTGCACGGGTACTTGAGGCTTGCGAAGGAGGAGAGGGGT